CCTCTTTGGAATCCTCTGTACCTCCCTCCCTTCTCCAAAGTGAACACTATTAAATAATACAAGGCAGGTTGGTCATATCTCACGGCATCGCTGCAACATGTTGCCGTGTGTGTGTGAGAGTCGGGATGGGAGGGGGGGTGGATTATTGGCTTAGTGTTTTGGCCAGGTTTAAGTGAAACAGCCCTGAAAGGCTCTTAGCGGAGATTACCCCAGGTACTAAAAATAGTCATTCCCTCCCAGCACACACACACACACACACACACACACACACACACACACACACACACACACACACACACACACACACACACACACACACACACACACACACACACACACACACACACACACACACACACACACACACACACACACACACACACACACACACACACACACACACACACACACACACACACACACACACACACACACACACACACGGAACCGAAAGTGATGACAGTGTTGTGTCTGGCCAGAAAAAGACCACTATCTGATCCTTGTGTCGGGCGTCTCTATTACACACAAAAAACACACACACACACACACATGCATGCACACGTACACATCGGTGGCTCCAGTGTGATGAGAGAGATCCACTGGGGGGGGGGGGGGGGATCAGCTGGAGCAGGAACACCAAGCCATGCCTCAATCAGTGGCCCCGGCCCACTGGGAGTGTGTGTGTGCATGTGTGCGTGTGCGAGAGAGAGAGAGAGAGAGAGAGAGAGAGAGAGAGAGAGAGAGAGAGAGAGAGAGAGAGAGAGGAGAAGAGAGAGAGAGAGAGAGAGAGAGAGAGAGAGAGAGAGAGAGAGAGAGAGAGAGAGAGAGAGAGCCACCAGACCAAAAGATTCTCCTTTGCTCTTTTTCAAAACATTCCCTGAGGGGAGCCTTCATTTCTTTTTTGGGCATATCCAACCCCCCCTGCTCACCATCCCTTTCCCCCCCCTTCCCTTACTCCCCCCTTTCTCCCTGCAGAAGCAATTGTTGGAGGCCAGAATATATTTGTTTAGCCAGTGCAGCTCCAACTTCCCATCAGCCGGGAACAAATGCTTTTGCCTTGGGTAGCGAAAAGACAGAGGGAGAATGGAGGGGATAAAGAAGGGGGGAGAGCAGAGGCCCCCCGGTGTTGCAGGGCGGCGGGTTGAGAGCTCTTGTTGTGTGAGTGGATCTGACAGACGCTCCGAGATGACACAAGCTCGGACAGCCTAAGTCTGCATCTGTGTACTATACGTCTGCGCTGCCTCTCATTTGTGTGTATCTTGAAACAGCATCGCCGCGGGTCTGAGAGCGCTTTGCCTTCACTTCGACAGTGATGGAGGATTGCTTCTATCAGACAGCGCAAACAATGTATCAGCACAGGAAGACTGAAAGGAACTCGAGAGGAGGGGGTAGTATGGTGTATTCTAATAAGACTCACTTGAGAAAATCATATTATACAGTGGAATATGATAATTCATACACCCTTTGCTGGAGCGGTGAACTGGTGCGGGTGGTGTACTCAAATGTCAGCATAAATTTGCAAAATAAACGCATCCGGCATTCAGCAGGGAGTAGAAACAGGGACAATAAGGGTCTCTGCTGTGCGTGTGTGTGTGGGCGTGACACTCCTTCTCAGAGGGTCTGTGACTTTGTGCGCACTTCTGCTTTAGCCAACAAGTGACTGAGGGAGGGAGGGGCTGCTTGAGGAAAAAGCATTCCATCACAACATGTTTTATCAAAGCCCGCTAAAGATGACCCAATCAATCTAATCTGCCTTTACTTAACAATAAGCGCCTGAGCATCTGTCTGAAAATGCTTAAACAAAGCGGCATAATGCTTCACAAATGCTGATGCCATCACACGGCCCATTCCGTTGGAAGAATATCAAGAGTTTGCATGACCGACATATGTGCGCTCACGTGCGTTGTAATATCTGAGTAATGCTTTAAGCCTTGGCATCTTATTTTACTACCTGCAAAGCCCACAACCTTTTACTTCCAATCCGTGAGCTTTGATTTGAGCAGGCACCAGTCCAAGCATTCCCTGGTCCCCACACTTATCTCTTTCACTACCCATCTGTCCTTGTGTCTGTCTTGTCATCTGTTGGCCTTTTCCGTCCATCTCTGTGCCTCCCTTTGTCTCTCTCTTCTCTATCTGCCCTTGTCTCACCTGTCTGTCTGTCATCGGCGTATCTCACGACAGGACAGGTACAGCTGCGATAAAATGTCAGAAGGTAAAGCGAGTGCCAATTTTCTTGCATAATCACGTAGTCTGTAAATCTTTGAGGTGTGGTGCATCCCAGTGCAAGAGCCACACATGAAGCTATAACCACATTTCTGTCAATCACACGGCGTCATGAAAGCTGAGAGGAGTCACGCTTCCGTGCTAATATCTTTGGCAGTACAATGGGAACTTATTGCAGTAACCACTGCCAACTGCAGCCCAAAATAGACTGTGGACTTTCACGGTCGGCCCGTTCTGAAGGGGTGTCAAATGCACTGTGCCAGGAGCGATAACGGCAATGTGTGTGTGTGTGTGTGTGTGTGTGTGTGTGTGTGTGTGTGTGTGTGTGTGTGTGTGTGTGTGTGTGTGTGTGTTACAAAAGGGGGGAAGGGGGCACATGATCCTCCAAATTTCGTGTCAGGGACAGTTGGGACAGTGAAAGGGAATAGAGCAAAAGGCCAGCCAGGGGACAGCTTGTGATCCCGGACCGTACGTTGCTTACAGAACAGAACACACACATACACAGATAGAAACATTGGGCCTGTTTGCACCCACACACACACGTACACTGCCCAAACACGGTGTAAACTGTTTTAATTGAACCTTTAAACAGACTTTTTCGGATGTGAGAACGGTGTTTCTGATCCCTACTGTCCTGTATAACCAAGGCAAAGTCACTCATTTGCTACCGTGTGTGACATGGAGCTCTACCCTGAATAAAAGCCCAAATCCAATAAAAACAGAAGCTGTTTGTCTTTCCTTCTAAGCTGCAAATCATTTCAACAGTTGACGTACTTCTGCAAAGAAAGGCTGGTTCAAACTTCCAGGGAGCGTGTTGTTTGATGGGGACTTTGTTAAGAGAGAGGCCTCAGCGTGACAGCTGCACCCAGCTGTTCCACATGTAAGTCAGGGCAGCCTTGATCATCTGCTACCTGCTTTCTCTTAACACGCTCACACGCTGATTTGTTAAGTGGATGTATATGCATGAGTTGAAGGGAAAATGCAAGAAAACAAAGAATGCACTCGCAGGCTTTTCAATCTGGCTGGTTATTAACACGTTCTCTAATCTTCAACTTTTGATTGGATGCTTCTCTGCCCTGTGGAGAGGCCAATCAGGGGGGCGCAGGAAGTACAGCTGCAGCCCCAGCTTTCTGATCCTTGCAGAGCGGCAAACTTTCCCCTGTCAGATTAAGTAGGATTAGCCGGGTCCTGCCGTAGGATGAACTGAGCACTTCATATGGTGAATAGAAACTTTCCAAAGACGGAAGAAAAAAAATTCCCTGGTCAGGGAAATGTGTTACTCGCTTTGAAAAGCTTGATTAGAAGCCTTTCCAAACCATCAGCATATGCAATATCTGCTAGCCTGTTCAGTATGTGAAAACATCACCCGCTCACTGCTATGTACTGTACAGTATTCTTGTGGATGCTCTTGATCTGAGCTCGTCCCCTCATCAGCGTCCACAATGTGTGCTACATTCCAGTGTGTCTTCAAATCTCAAATCACACACACACACACACACACACACACACACACACACACACACACACACACACACACACACACACACACACACACACACACACACACACACACACACACACACACACACACACACACACACACACACACACACACACACACACACACACACACACACACACACACACACACACACACACACACACACAATGGTATTTTTATCCATCCCCAGAGCCACTCTCATATCACTTTCAGACGACAGAGGAGCCTCGGTCACACCAGCTAGTACTTAAGGCGCCCTTTACCGTGTGTGTGTGTGTGTGTGTGTGTGTGTGTGTGTGTGTGTGTGTGTGTGTGTGTGTGTGTGTGTGTGTGTGTGGTGGTCCATAGAGGGACAATGCGTGGTGATTTAAAGAGACTTTTAAAAAAGGTGGCTGTGGTAGGGTGGAGGTCAAACGTGGAAATAATTTAGACTGTTATCAACTGTTGCCTGCAAGACCATGAACTAAAGAGGAACACACACCCAAAACAAGAGACCCTGAAAACATGACTACATGTCAGGGCATTCGACTAACACACACTTCTCAGACAGGATTTTTCCTCCAGAGGCGAGGCTAAAGCATCCAATCTCAGTCTTTCTTGTCTATCTCTGGCACTGATAAAAGCTTATAATGAAATGGGGACTGCAACTCAGTCCCAAGACCGGTGGCTTTATGGCCCTGGCCAGATCATCACCCTCTGTGGACTTCGTTTGTCACCGCGTGAGGACAGAAACACAGTCAGATGGGAGGGAGAGGAGGAGACAGGGAGAAAGAAAAGAAAGCCAGATAGATTAAAGTTTTACACTCCAACCTTTGAGAAGCGTTTTGCAACACAGCCGCCGTGTCCAGAGTTTACTACCGGAACGCTCTCTCAGATGTGTGCCGTTTCTGGGCTGAAATAAATGCTCAGAGTTTTGATAAGATATGGCTACAGTCGCGGCCAGGATGCAAACAAGAAGACAAAGGTCCTCCTGGGCATATCGTTATTTTTGTTATCTCCCCCGTTTGTACTTGGGAGCAATGTTGAAGCATGTTTGTAAACTGGCAACACTTGCGCATTTTGTTTGGCTCGCATTCAAGGATGTGTTCGCTCAGGCGTGTTCTTATTCCAGCTCACTCCTGACCCCTGGGAGAGCATGTAATGAAATCACTGTGGATGCAAAGATGTTACATAGCACCTTATAGCCTAGAAAACAGCACCGCCATGTCATACATACTGATGAAGGTGATGAATAAGAAATTATATAGAAAGGAAAACTACTGTAAGCTGTACTTACCTCAAAAAGATTGGACGCATCGTTGCCATACTGGGTGGAAATAATCTCTGATTGGTCGCTGTACCATTTGAGGCCGCCCAGGAAGCTGTCTGCATCCAAGTCACTGACATCCAGCTCTGAGAGGTCCAGCTCAGGGAGGTCCGGGCAGAAAGGCTGGTCTTCACCAACCAAGGCAGCACACTGGAGGAAAAACAACAGCAACAATGATCGTCAGAAAGGAAATCTCTTTTATATGCAAATCAGCGTCGGAATTATTTGTGCCAAGTTTGAAAACAATGGCTGAATCCAAATCTGGACAGGAGTCAAAAGCCTCTTAGAGTGAGCAACAGGAAATCCAAACACAAAGCATGTCCAGCAAATTAAGTAATTCATGTCTGCCAGTTGATGACTTTTATTACAATAACTCTATTGATTATGATCAGTTCTGCAGGTCCACTCGTTTTGCACAGCAACCTGTTTCCGCTCAGCTCCTATTAAACCCCCCCCCCCCCCCCCCCCCCCCCCACACCACTGGTGCTGGCCTGCTGCTACTAAACGCTGCCTGTTGACATTTTGCTATTCACCAGCTACTTTTATGTAATCTAGCCAATGTGTACTGTATGTAGCAGCTGTTCCTGCATCTCCCCCACACTAATCATCAGCTCTGGCTGCAAGTGGGATGAGAAATCAACAGTGATGTGACAAGGTGTTTCAGTGGAGGGGAAAGAGCAACAAGTCTAAGCAAATTTTGCTAGATTATTTCAAATGGCATATTTACCATTCTTTTTTCTGAATGTTACAGCCGTTTCCAGTCAATTCATACTCATTATTATACAAAGTAAGCAACCACAAGGAATGAAACCATGAGCAGCACACTTTAATATCTAGTCAGTGATCATTAAAAGGCAGAAAGTCAGGCATGTTTACACTCTGTGACTGTGCACATGCAAATTCAAGCCTAAGAAAACATCTTTAGGGCTGTATAATAAGAAACACACTCGTAATTGTTGTTGACAAGACGTCATGCACGCTACAGGATGGCCTTAAGACAAACACGAGAGATATCCCCGGGCAGAGCCGGTGGGTGTTTGGCCGCAGACTGAGAGCCGGGTTCGGCTCAGGGCAGAGCTGAGGATCGGATCCTGCAGGAAAAAGCGGCCAGACACCGGAGTCACAGTTCATCTGTCGTCGGATTCGCACCAACACGATGGTGAGACAAATCCGATATGCTGCACAGAGCGAGGGGAACGATTCACTGCGTCTTAGGCTCCCCCTGTGATGATCCAGTGTGACAGGGCACAGCATGGAAAAGATGAGATATACACAGAGGCTGGACGTCCTATGCCCAATTATCTTATGGACTTCTTGCTCGGACTAATGAAACAGCGCCGCCAGACAGCGCGCACCACAGCGCTCCATGATTTACGCTGTATCGCACACAAGAGCACCTGCTCGGTGAAGATTATTAAAATGAAGTATAGCCTACTGACGACCTGGAAGACAGATCTCGCGGGGGTTTTAATAAGAGTCGACATGCACACATTTCACAGAATGAGTCGAAAAAGAAGCTCCAAGAAACAAGTGCATTATTTGGGTTAACTACACGGGAGTCTCTCCTGAAGTCTACCTGGCTACAGTGACAGAGTCAGTGCCCCGGTGATTAAAGTACAAAGAAGCGAGTCTGAATGAAAAGCAATCACTAAAAAAAACTGTCCGGAATAACATATCCTTATTTTGATGCAATAAAGGCAGTTTTTCATATTTTCATTACGCAGCATAGAACACATATGCAAGCAGGCTGCAGTCACATCGTGTAGTGACAGAGAAAGCCTCACTGATGGAGACTTCTGAACCCAATTATAGCCAGGTAGACCTGAATGTTCACAACAAGCTGCACGGAATAAGTATCCGTTTGATGTGCCTTTTCTGAATGCACTTAAGTCATGGGAAAGGTAAAGCAAGATTCAAAAGACGACTTGGATGAAACGAGAAAATACGCAGCAGGTAAAAGGAAATTCACGCAGACATAAAACGATGAAGTGTGGCTGGATGTTGCTCTCCAGCCAGCCGGGATGTTGGCACACAAACGTGCCCGGCTCCGTTACTGTTATGATTCTCCTGCGCAATGGCAGATAGTCCTCAGTGTGCACAACCTTTGCTCCTGCCTTTGGAAAAAATAACATGCCCTATCCCGACACAGCACGTCAAAGGGGTTTATTATCTTCGGTGGATTTCATGCTTCAGCGAAATACCTGACTTTGAGACATTTCAGTCATTTCGGCATGAAAAGCTTCTCGGCACCGGAACGCGTACAGTCCGTGGCTCGAAGCAGGTCCGCAAGCTTCAAGCTCTCAGCTCCGACTGAGCACAGATCCTACGAGAGAGGCAGGTCCCGAGCCTGTGCATGCATTACAACTACACCTTTAACTGAGGAGTAAAGGGAGACTCCGCACACTTGTCATATATTCCGGTGTTGTATATCCCCGCATCCTCAACTGTGTCCAGACGCGAAATTCACCGGCACGCCACTGCCAGCAGCAGCAGCAGCAGCAGCAGCAGCAGCAGCAGCAGCAGCAGCAGCAGCAGCAGCAGCGAGAGAATATGTGGAGATCACTGTGTCTGTAGCCAGTGCTGTCCAACGGGTCCAGGGGGAAAAAAGAAAGTCCACAGGGCTAGAAAAGATGATACAAGTCGGATTTTTTTTTTAGATGCGCTCACCTCTAATTCTCTCCACACAGAGTCCTGGTTACACCTGTCCCACGCCATCCAGCCACTGAATGACGGTCCGAAAAAGAAAAAAAGAAGAAAAAAAAGAAAAAAGAAAGAAATCAAGTAAAAAAGAAATCCACACGCGCTTCCCACTCGCTCTCACACAGGCTACTGCTGCCCCTCGCCGAGAATGAACCGAGGGCACCTGTCTTACAACTGCTTTCCATCACATGACAAAGCTATTAAAAGTAGGCAGGGGAGTGACTCCGGCTCCACACTACTCGCCAGTGACGCGCGCAGAGCAGGCGGGGTCTGCCTGCGCACATAGTAAAATCCTCTCTGTGCACTGCAAGAAATGTCCAACCTAAAACCACAGCATGCTTTATCTATCCATACAATCATTACATATATATTCATAAAGTAAGTGACCATGTTGCGCGTAGACATTATTTTCGGGAAATGTAACGAAGAAATAGACTTTTGTTTAATTCTAGTAAGTTATTAGATATTTTTTACATGAAATTCTCTCAGAATCAAGATTTGAGTTGAAACAAGCTCATGATTTCAGTTTTTTATGTAAAAATGTTTAAGAAATATGTATAAAATCATGCATTTTTTGCAGTGCGGACGTCACATTGCAGCCAATCTGTCGACCAAATTAGTGTAAATCTGCTACCTGTACTGTAGTTTTTCATCATTAAACTAGAAGAATGTCAGGAATATATGCGGACATTCACAATCAATGTTCTTTTTGGCAAGGTCCGTGCCATAATTTGTCTCGAAATGACGGCCTATCATCAGTCATGTCTCCGGGTTGGATATGGGGGGGGGGGGGGGGGGGAATATTTGAAGCCTCGGATCTTTTCAAGCTCCCCAAAAAAGTGACTGTAAAGCTGTTGCTGTAAATGTGTCAGCGCACACCAGGAGTCCTGCAGGAATGCGCAATCAGAAAATATAGTGTAGATAATAATATAAACACGATGTCCTTCCAGAAATAAATTGGTATGCTTTATCATTAAAATGTGTTTATAACAGTGCCACGGTTAAAGATGTAGTCTATAATTGAAGATTTTTCTCGCATCAACGATAGAGCACATAGGAATTTATGTTTCATTAAACTATCACACGTTTACAAGCTAATTAGTTTTCATTGTTTGCTCCATTTTTTGATTAACTCCCGTCAGAGCGAGTAACCTAAAATGCCCGTTTGGCGTAGAGTATCAAAGAGCGTAATTCAGTCTTTTGGAAAGTATTTCTGTGTCCATTTAGAGGCAATAAAAAGGACAGATGGCAGTATGAAGCGTGTATACAGTGTCAACAGGACGTGTATAGGCAACAGTAGCCCGGTAAAATAAAAACAAAAGCTTTGTGGACATTTCAAACAAAGAGAGCTTTCTGTTGCGTAGACTGACGGGCTGACTGCAGCACGATTGTTTCCTATGATCTGCTACACTTACAGTAACACACATGTAAATATCACCAGGTAGGGATTTCCTCATGAATAATGTGATTCTAAAACTACACTGTCAAATCAGAGCTTTAACAAATACATCTAAAAGAATATCAACAGTTAATTGGTTTTATTTTCAGGAAATAAGCAAGTATTTCTGTGTTAAGAAACACACTCCAATCCAATGTTGAGTCTTGTAAGGCCATTAAGTCCACCTGAGCATGCAAGGAGCAATTGTCTCCTTAAATTAGTGAACCGCATACACTAAGTGTCATTAAACACAAAATTGCACAGAAACGTGTAAAAGGGTTGTGTGACTGGAATGTACAGATTGTGTTTGAGCATGCCAGTGCAGTAAGACATTATTATTATTATGTGTGTGTTATACTTATGGGTATCTGAGGGCCTTTGTGCCACTAAATCTATACATCTGCCTCTCCTCGCGCGCCCAGAGATGCTACCCAGAAGCAACGGCGAGACCCAATCTGAGCAGGTGGTGTGTTCAGTGACCTCACAGAGCCCAGATGGACCAGTTACACTGAGACATAATATGGGGGAAACATGGAAGTGACATGGGGCTCGGCTTTAAGACTGCGGCAAATATAAAACACTGAGAAAAATGATTTTTAAATGTATAATATGGCACATTTATAAAATGTCTTCAATATGTTAATTTGGTCCCTAGTGATGCCGTGAAATCCACTTTTTTGGTTTGAATGTCTTTTTCCAGTTCTAAGCCACCTTTTCTGCCATTCCCTTTTTCAAATCTGGGTGGGTTTTAACTGTATATTTTACCTAGATGAAAGATTTTAGTCATATAATGTCTAGATATAAGGTTGTCAGAGAACTAAACTGAGCTAATGTTAGCGGCAGCCGAACAGCGCACAGCAGAAAAAACTGTTTTTTGTTGCCATGAAACTGCATTACTCATTGTTTTAATGAGTTTGAATCACCTGGGATGTTTATTTTAAAGAGGAAATGTGGGGGTGTGTGATTGCAAAGATGGCCATGGTGGTGAATACTACAACTCAAATGATTGTGC